CTAACAGTATACCAACACATGTCTCCGGACATTATTAAACATATCATTATGTCTATTCAATGAAGTCACGGTAAAGACGTTGGCTTCTTCTAACCATAATTAATAGCGAAAAGAATCTTAAATTTCAGTAATAATAATAATGACTAATAATTCAAAAAACCTGTGGTAAGAGAAAACAAACCAAACTATCAAACTGTCATAATTTAGCACAGTAAACATGAAGAGAAAAACACAACATGAGAAAGAATCATTGTTTGAAAGAAAGAAAGAAGTCTGAAAAAAAAGAGGAAAAGATATGCAGTAAACAAGACAGATAAACAAACGCGACTTTTACACTTCAATTCAAGATAAACAGTAGCAGTGAGAATTATTGATCGAGTTAGTCCCATATAAACCATAATTCATCATTGTAAAAGTGTCAATTTCAACGAGCCTATATAATTGTGACTGAATAACTGCATTAATGTCTGATAAGTTGACAATCACAGAAATGTTAATGCATAATTTCAAGTTTTCAAGAAAAAAAATATGACTATCAAATCGATACTGTATTAAACCATAGAAATGTAGTTCATTTAACATTGTCGTAGCTGGATTATTTTTTTCTCTTTGAAGTGAAATATGTCAATCGAAACTTAAAGCTGACTATCGATAACAATGAGGAGTACAAAAAGTGAATAACCGAAACAAATAAAACGACAAAACACGCTAAACATAAGAATCAATATGAAAGAATGTGTGGAATGAACCGATAACAACAACAAAAACAATAAAAACGACGAAAACATATTGTCTGAACGGAGTCGCCAGTGTGATTACGTGAATGTTGTAAATGAATCATCAAAATTTAATAAGCATATATAAAATATAAAAGTGTGAAAACAACAAACCAAGAACATTGTGTAATGTATTTGACTAATGTTTGTGTAACATATTAAGAACAAAGAAGTTATTACATTTTAAGAAAAAAACAGAAAAATGAAGAGTATAAAGTATTTGTGATATATATGTCAATTCAATAGGTAGGGTATATGTATATCGCCCAAAACAATGCAGAAGTATTCTGAAAGTTTTCCCAAGTTCCCCCGAAAATCCCGGTAGCCAGTTCATCTATATATTCCCTTGTATACTTAACAATTATATACAACACTACGTACACTATTACACTATTAGAAGTCCTCAAGAATTTCTCAAATATGTTTTCAGAAACCGGGATAAGGCTCAAAACGCTCAATAGAATCATTACTTAATAAGAAACAGAGTCTTACAAAAATGACGGATTACTGTGTCATATCCTGACTAGATTATTACTGATTTTGATATATTCACACAGTGATGAAAATTTCGATCTTAAAACATTTGAAACTCTATATACTACAAACCTAAAGTAGTCTATGTTGCCACCAATCAATAAAGATATACATACATATATTCCAGAGGTGGGATGAAATTTGTGAGACATTTTACACCAATAAAATATAGTCGGAAATCAAAATAAATCATGATTATTTATTCAAATCAAAAACTGTAGAGCATACATTATTCCATGTAACCATTACGATAACGATCTCCAAGATGAAATCCTTTAGTCAAGTAAATTTTAAATACATATGTTGTCTGTGTGCAGATCTACAAAATATACTTACCCACTTATTATCATTATCTCTGGTATAATTGTTTTCCAATAATTAACAGCTGATCACCTCTATAAAATTACATTTCTAGGAAATTATTTTTCAGAGTAAAGTGTAATAAGCCACAGCAACAATAATACGTGGAAGGAGAATTAAATGAACCAGAGCAATACAAACATACACACACAGAACTAACGTATCGCTGAAAACTCAGAAAATTGTGTTGAGGACAGGATAAACCAGAGTTTTATTAGCTATTTTGCAGGGAAGTACAATAGAAAATGAAAAGAGATGCGAAATAGCAATTCACCATCCACCAATAGATTTTAGCCGGTGATAAACTTCACGTAGTCAAGTCATTTAAGTATATTGTAGTCGGTGATTACGACTATGTCACTCAGTTGTAGAAATTTTGGGATAATTTACAACATAGAATTAGTTGGATATATGGCTTTTCCTACGTTGTAATTTTCCTTCCATCATGACGGACTGACCGAAACTTGATACGTCCGTAGCATGATGAAGTGGTATTTTCGGCGCAGAAAACTTTACATTTTTCATTTAAGCCAACAAAAAAGACAAATACTAAAACACACCCTCCATCATGGATTACGATAGTGCAAATAATAGTTTCCGCATCGTTTTGGTTGGTTGTCAGGTGAAAGGTCAAAATTATGAACGAGAGTGGAGTTTATCCACAGTCAAGATTTTTCTCTAAACGTAAAGAATTTGTTAAAGCAAATTGACCACTTTATATCGTATAATATTGTTGGCTAATAATAAACAATATGAATCCCTTCTTCATTCGGCTAAAAGCTATTAGATCCAAAAAAGTTGGAATAGAATAATGTAAGTTAACAACATGTACATCAACCATTAACGTTTATACTGTTCATGATTGAGAATGAGTTCTACGTTCTGTAACGTCTTGAACAGTATTCAGATGATTGCTAAATCCATGAAGGATCAATAGACCACGCCTATGACAACATTGCCCAACTTCTGAATCGGAATATTAAAAGGCCAGCGAAGTGATCAGATGTACTTCTTAGGATTCTAATCCATAATTTGCGTGATTATACAATAGAAATATCGGAACATAATGATGATGTTATTTTTACTCATGACAATCAACAGCAAGCAAATCTAAGAACTAAGTCAAATTGTAAAAAGTACACTTTTGTAATTTGACTTAAAAGCTGGATAGTATTATGCTTAGTGTAAGAATTTTAAGGCTTAGAAACTCTAAGCTTTACAAAAAATACTATCTATTCATCATATTATGTAAGTTTGTGATATAATCACTTCAAATACTCAACAAAAAATGCACTGTAATCAACTTTGTTGCTTATAAACATTCTTTAACATAACAATTACTTTGAACTATTGAAAATGACAACATGGATCGTAAGCAAAGACGAATAGTGGCTAGCAGTGGAATCCACGACGCGCGTTTCGTCCTATTTAGGACTCGTCAGTTGGATCTCAGAGTTGATGTTCACTCTTATTGGTTTTTGAATTAAGGCAATACGCGCAGTATGCACATATGCCAATAAGAGAATGATCAATTGCAGTCCTAAACATCAATAGGAAGATTCAAACAAACAACACCAAGTGAAATTGACAACATGTATGTTTAAAAAACATGTAGAGAAGCTATTATATCTGTTTTTTCGTAAAGACAAAAAAAGCTATATATTCACTATCTGATTTATTAGTCTTTTAAGAATAATTTAGACAAAAACAAGATTACAGTAAAATGAAAGTACCTACTAGTATACAAATTTACCCCCACATATATTTTTTGAGTATAATAAATTTTATGATATAATATGATAAAGAATATTGGTGGTTAGTTTAAGGATATTTTAATGTGAGTTTTAAAGTTTATTAACAAGATAGATAATATTTTAATTTTACCTCATATGATTCAATTAATTCATCGGTGTGAGTCTCTTTATCAGTTGATTAGATCAATTCTATATGTGTTCTCATAGAAGTTACATTATATCCAATTGTAAATTCAATTATTCCAACTAAGATTATGTAATGATACATTTTTTATATGATTATTAAACTATATAATATGTAATATGTTCATGTTTTTATGAATATAACTCATACTAATAATGATATTTATACAAGGAGTAAAACTGAGACAGTAATGTTATGTAATACTAGTAAATCCATAGAGTTCAGATAATAAGTCAATTGAAGATAGACCACCATCGAAAACCTGGAAGCACTGGAAGGCCGTTTCGTCTTATTATGGGACTCTTCAGCAGTGCAAATCCACGATCCCGCACTCGCGAGATTCGAACCCAGGACCTACCAGTCTCGCTCCAGAGCACTTCACCGATAGACCACTGAGCCGGCCGGCATCCAACGGTGTTAATGTCTAACTTCAACCGATTCATGAAATTGAGCAACCATTCACCAGTGTCATCAGTGAGTTGATATCTCCCAACAGACCTGGTTGAACTCCACTGGTCAGTGCTTCTCACTAGAACTCAAGGAAATACCTCATGGAGCCAGTCACTAGCGAGCACATGACACTGATGAATGGTTGCTCAATTTCATGAATCGGTTGAAGTTAGACATTAACACCGTTGGATGCCGGCCGGCTGGGTGGTCTATCGGTGAAGTGCTCTGGCGCGAGACTGGTAGGTCTTGGGTTCGAATCTCGCGAGGGCGGGTTTGTGGATGCGCACTGCTGGGGAGTCCCACAATAGGACGAAACGCCGTCCAATGCTTCCAGGTTTTCCCTGGTGGTCTAGCTTCAATTGACTCACGCTTTCAACTATGAAAATATCAAATCTCCACAAACACCCCTTCTGATGAAAAATAAATACTCAATAAAGGACGCAATACATTTATGTATTAGTTTTGATACAAGTGAAAAAGAAAATCAACATTGAACAGTGCTAACAGGAAAACAAAGAGAACTTAGATGAATTATTATTAAATGTACAACTACATAGCATGTACAGATATATGTAGAAGTTAAAGGTTTTTTTCATTTTCAAAGACAATATTATATTATATTGCTCAAACTCAGAAAGCACCATTCCCCTCATTTTAGTATGAGTGTTAACAAATGAACAAAGTAAACCTAAGAAACATGAGTGAACTGTATATTTTATCATTGAAAAAAGGCGTGCAAACAAGTGTATGAGCGAAGCGAATCAAACAAATTTCAATGTGTAATTGGTGAAAAGAATGACAAGATAGTCAGTTAAATGAAATTATAAAATGAAGAGTTAGGTAAATTACGAGAAATGTAGTAACTAAGGGTGAAGAATTCGCATGATTAATCCTATTAAAAAGTATAGAAAAAAAGTTTTAATCACTTGGCAGAGCAATTACCTTCACAATAATTATCATCCTCACAAAAAGAAATTTTACAATCTAACGATGATGGTGATGGATCGGGCATATTCAAATCACATGGCATACTGACACCAGATGTCATTGCTAAACAACCATGAGAACTTAATGTACTACAAGTTCGAGGTGGTGGACATGGACGTGACATTCGAGGTGCTGTTTTTCGATTGATATGATATTGACTTATTGCTTGATGATGTTTTAAATGAACAGGTTTTGGCTGAATTGGCGGTGGTGGAGATCTATTGTCAGCAGAAGGAGAAACTAAAGAATTGATTGGGCTACATGAAGTTTGTTGTACAATCAAACTATGGTTAGAAGGTAGATGGTCATTATGATCAACCTTATTCCCAATTACCTTTTCTGCTTTAGATTCGGAAGGACTAAGATGAAGTGAGTGTCTGTTATGATTTTCTTCACCAAGTAATTTTTTCTGAACGAACGACTGTGGTGTAAAGAAACTTTGTCCACAATTTACGTTTACAACGGGTTCCGAAATACTTTCATTGTTATGGTGATAACAACTAGCGAAAGAATTCTGTTCATTACATCCTAGTAACTCAGTAGCATTAGTAACACATAAACAACTGTTAACTGATGAAACATGTGCTCTTATTGATAGATATCTTGGATGACTAGGTAATGTGCCAGTTAGTTGATTATGTAAACATTTTGAAAACATTCTATTTAGCGTCATAGTATGACCGTTATTAACTGATCAGTCAGAAGACATTATATATATATGTGATTGTTTTAATTAAAAACCATTTAATCAGTTAAAAAAAACAGGCAAACGTAGTATAAGATGGGCAAAATCAAGCCATTCACACCCATAGTGTATGGAGAAAACAAAAGAGCACAAACCCAGTGTAGATCGGAACAGAATGGAAAGGAGAAATAAGAAAACCAGACAAATAAAAATAAACAATAGTTATGTGGAGTAAACAAAATAATTGTACATAATTAGCATGTAAGAAGATTAATAGAAACTTGTATAACATGATGTCAGTTGAATAAAATCTACTAAATCACGGAAACAAAATTATCAGAACAGAGAGTTAAACAACATGTCTAACCTTAAATTGACAAATTATGTCAATTTCTCACACGTTATTCTCAAAACGAAGTATTAAGTTAATCTGTAGTCATCAGTCTTCTGTAGATGGAACCTATCACTATTAGGTTGATACTTCATTATAGGTCTATAATGATTAGACATTGAGTATGGCAGGGTACTATTATTCTACACTAAAGAGAAATATTACAACCAAGTATATTTATCTACAAAAAGATTATGACATCACCCATATTAATGATAACTATTTTACCCACGAGGATCCAATAACAGTAATTTAATGTACGTCATTCAAGTTTCGAAGTAATTGACAGAATATAATACTCAATGCTGTATTAAAATGGCTCGAAAGATCCCATTTACGAGTTAGATTCAACCAATCAGTCGGTCAGTCAATTCAGAGAGGATAACCATTCAAAATAATCAAGGTCTAACTAGTTGTCTAAATGGATGATAAATATGTAGAAATTTCAGCACGTTTTGTGATCAGTTTTAAACAACAAATAGGCAAAAGCACAAACATAAGTCAGAATATTTTTTTACACAGGACAACACAAATCTGTGAATACATCTGTACACCTAAATGGGGGAAAAAGTTACATCGAACTCGTGAACCGATTAGTGTTAGATCATCATTGAGAACTTGGAAGTATTAGACGGTCTTTTTGTCCTAGTGTGTAACTACTCAGCAGTGCGCATCCACAACCCCGGACACAGGAAACGAACTCGCAAAGTTCGGTCTCGCGCGAGAAGGCTTGAACTGTAGACCTATGAGACGGCATTTGACGGTGTTATTGTCTAACTTCAATCAAACCACGACACTGCGCGACCATCTTCCATTGTCTTCGGTGGGTAACTGCCTCACAAACGACACGGATTATCTCAATTGTGATGTAAATAAATCTTGTTCACAGTCTTATATTTAAAGGTTGTGCAATGTCGTGGATTGATTAAAGTTAGACAATAACATCATCGAATACCGTCTCAGAGGTCTACAGTTCAAGCCTTCTCGCGCGAGATCGAACTTTGTGAGTTCGATTCCCGTGTCCAGGGTTGTAGATGCGCATTGCTGAGGAGTTACATACGAGGAAGAAAAGATCGTCTAGTACTTCCAAGTTCTCAATGGTGATCTAAAATTAATCAGTTTATCATCTTAATGAAATTCAATAATTTCCACGACGCTTTACTAACAAAAAACGTTAATTAGAACTAATGAATGTTACCTGGCATAACTTGATCAAGTTCATCCATTTCCATACTGAATGGATCTGTTCCACTTCTTTGATATGAATGTATATCATTATTACCAACAACTGAAGTAGGATTATTAGTAGAAGTGGCATCAGACATTGAAACACTATCCAGACAATTTTTTGAATTGTGACATGAATTAGATAAACTTGTACTAATAGCTAATTTGTTAACTTGAGATTTTAACACTGTTGAAGGATTAGCATACTTTTTTTCTTCATCATGATAACTTTGACTGACAGCGGAATCATTTAAATCAAGTTTATTTATACTATCTGAAACAGACCAATTACAATTATTCGTATTACTAATATTAGTAGTATTCGGTGAAGCATTTGTTGTATAATGATATTGTTGTGGATTTGTAGAAATCGAATTACGACTTGATGATTGATGATGAATAAATTGTTGCTTATGATTGGTCATATCAACTTTAGCATAACGAAATCTATCTAATGTACTATCTATATTTTCATATGAATGAACAATTGGTAATTGTGACATGGAAAATTTACGTTGTGCTGCATGAGCCAATTGAATGAGATTTGTATAGACTGGAGGTGGTACAGCTTGTTTCGGGTAGAGTACAGTGGACGAATCAACACCACTATCTTTGGAAGAAGCTTTGCCGACTTAATTTATTTTTTTGAAAAGAAAACAAAATGAAAAGATAAGAGTGGGAAATACACACACACACACACAACACGATATTTATACCTAGGAGTAATTAAGAGAAAAAATTATAAATATACATTGAAGGATGAGTATAGACTGTAAACAATTAATAAGACAGGCATAAACAAAGTAGAATCTGTTTAAATTATAATACATTATTATAAATTAACAGGATGAGGGAAGAATTGAAATGTTTCTTTGTTCTGGGGTTTTGAAAAGTAAGAAAGGAATTCATCTGTGTGCTACAACAACTGAGTTCACATCTAGGCAGTTCTGTAAACGAGACTGATCCAGATGCTGCTTGAAAAGACATACGAACAGCTGTGGAAACAGCAGTAACATCTATTAGTTATTTAAACCATAGCGCTCCAAAAAACCAGTGAATTTCTTTTAAGTTTATTTCACTGATGGATTCGCGTAAACTCATCCCATCAGGCTCTGAACACGACGAAGAGCGTAAACAAATTAGATCTAGAATAACTAAAAGTCTAAGGAACGATAGTGAGCAGTGGTGGGCAACGAAAGCAAAAGAGATGGAAAAGGCAGCGGCTGTAGGCAACACCAGGCAACTATTCATACTAATAAAAGAAACCGAAATTAAGAAGTCAAGTGTAAAAGAGACAATCTCGGAAAAAGATGGAACCCTTATCTGCTCTCAACCCAAACGTTTAGAACGATAGGCGAAACACTTTAAGGAGCAGTTTAACTGGCCTTCAGCTACTGCACAACTACCCACTATTCCCAGAAAACCTGAATGCAGCATTGAAGTAGGCACCCGACCCTACTTGAAGTTCAAAAGGTTATAAGTAATCTGAAACGAGGAAGTGCAGCTGGTCCTGATGGATTGGCTCCAGAGGTCTTTAAATATGGTGGCCCAATTTTAGCGATTAGGTTGACTAATATTCTGGCTAAAATCTGGGAGTTGGACGTAATCCCATCTGACTGGTTACAATCTCTGATTGTCCCAATATATAAGAAGGGACCAAAATCATCCTGTGCTAACCATAGAGGGATTAGTCTGACTAACATAGCATCTAAAATACTAGCCTCAATAATTACCGGGCGCCTAACTAAGACTCGTGAACTACAAACACGAGAAAATCAGGCTGGCTTCAGACCTGGTCGTGGCTTTATCCACCACATATTCACCATTCGTAAAGCTTTAGAGCACAGACATGCTTATCGGCGTCCGACAATGATAGTTTTTCTTCACTTGAAAGCAGCATTTGACTCTGTAGACCGAGAGGTTCTGTGGCAGTGTCTGTCATTAAAGGATGTACCTGAGAAGTACATAAACCTTGTGAAGGCTCTTTACTCGAACACTACCAGTCGAGTGAGAGCTTATGGCGAACTGTCATCTGATTTTACAACCTCAAGTGGTGTCCGACAAGGTTGTCCACTATCCCCATTTTTGTTTAACTTCATTACAGAGCCACTGCTGGAAATAACACTCTTCGACTGAATTTTCAGGAATTGATCTTCTACCAGGAGGTTCACTTATCGACATAGTCCTGTTTGGTGAAGACGCTGGCAAAATACAGAGTCTTCTGTTGGAACTCAGTAATAATGCCAGGATGTTTGGGATGCGTTTCTCCACATCCAAATGTAAATTGTTACTCCAGGACTGGCCTGCGTCAACGACTGAACTAAGGATAGGGAGCGAAGTAGTCGAGCGCGACGACAACTTCACTTATCTTGCAAGTCTGATCAACCCTAATGGATTGGTGTCTGACGAAATCTCAGCACAGATTCAAAAAGCTCGTTTGGCTTTTGCCAACTTACGTCACCTATGGCGAAGACGAGATATCCGTCTATCAACTAAGGGACGATTATACTGCGCAGCAGTTCGTTCTGTTCTACTTTACGGTTGTGAAACATGGCCATTAAGAGTGGAAGATACTCGTAAGTTACTAGTATTTCACCACAGATGCCTCAGAAATATTGCTCGCATCTGCTGGGACAACCGGGTAAGTAATAGTGAGGTTAGACGCAGGGTATTAGGGAATGATGGTAAATCAGTTGATGAGGTCATGAATCTTCATCGACCGAGACGGTTGGGCCACGTGTCAAGTATGCCTGAACACCGATTACCACGACGCGCAATGTTGATTAGTGTAGGGGATGGTTGGACGAGAGTTAGGGGCGGCCAAACCAAAACATGGCATCAGTGCTTGAAGTCACTAACTTCTAGTCTGAGCCATGTTGGTAGATGCAGACTACTTGGTTGGGGTCCGCGTGACTATCGTAACCAATGGTTGGAGACTCTAGGTGACATGGCTCAGAATCGATCACAATGGCGTAGGTGTATACACTCTTTATCTTCCCTTAAACCTTGAGATTAAAATTGCTTCATAACTTTTTTCCTTCCTATACTATATCCTTCTATACAATCTTTCTTTATATACTACCATCACTAAATTAATTACTTCTATGAATCCGGTGTTGATCTTGTTATGCTAACGAGGTATGGCAACTTGGACCGATGCATATATGTGCCTGGTCCTATGTTGTAGGTGACTGACTGGCTGACTGTGTGCTACATTGTGTCTGATAATTTTGAGCCATATCACTTAATATCTCTCAAAGTATGAAGTTGGATTATTTTATGGACTACGAATAGTAATTTTGAAAACTATAACGTAATTCATATCAATTCTCAGTGACTGAATGGATCAGCACGATGTGTTGGGTCTAATCACCTTGAGTCTAATACAAACCTATTATTTAAAGATAAGGAACTGAAAAGGTAAAAAAGGATAAGGCAAAAGGTGGTAGAATATCATACCAGTTCAAGTTCAGTCAGTCTTAATCAACAAAGAGTATGGTGGAATTGTGGACTATCCCAACCTGTTATACCAGATTAGAATGATGACATGAAACTAACAAGGTGAATAATAAAGGAACCAAAATAATTTGTAGTAGTAATGATAATGAGAAAGACTAAACATTGAGAGTGTATTTCGAAAAGACAAAATGAAAAGTTGTGGATAAAGGAATACTAGGACCCAAGATCAATATTGAGATAAGCTTGATGGGTTTGAAGCAATAATCAAAACCGTACAGCCTTCATATATTTTCTACTCTCATAGATCGTGTCCCACAGTCGCAAGGTGATACAGAAATGATTGGTATATGGTGTACTGGCCCTTTCTTTTGCAGACAGACATCTCACTTACAATGAAAGTGACGCGAATCGACAAAAGCCAAACGAGCTTTCTGAACCCATATCGAGATTTCGTCGGATATCCACTCATTAGGGCTTATGAGACTTCCAAGATATATACCGTTGTCAACATACTCAACTACTTCACTCCTTATGATTTGAGCAATCAAGACTAAATGAAATAACATACAACTTATTCCCATTTGTAAGCTAATAATCTATTCAAATTTAGCCACTGCTTTTAGATCATTTCTCATGAAGACACCGAATACCAGCTACGCGGAGGTTTCTGAATTTTTTACTGAAGCTATTTTAGAAAAATCAGATTTGTTGTTTATGAGGAGTGATTATGATTGAAGGGTCATCAAGTGAATAGTTTACAAAGTGTTCAATTCATTACTCAAATTTCCTGGTCTAAAAGTTTGATTGTTATGACATTTAAATCTCAAAAGTATAATGTCAGGATTTAAAAGTCGGGTTAGAGGTGCAAACAGCACTTCATCTACTTCTACTTAACCAACTGGGCGTTATCTCTAGTCATCACATCCATGATGTCTACGATAGTCAACGATGCAAAAATATATATAATTACAAAGTTGTGTAGCATTTCCAAAAGCTCGGAATAAGTAGTGTTTTTTTGTGTAGGCGTGTAAAACAACTTACCGGGTGGATTGAAAGACAGAGCAGTTATAGAAGCCCGTGCAGGAGCATGACCTCCTCGTTCATAAGCAGAACTTATTGTATGACGACCACTATTTGGAATTGGAGGATCACCAGTAGTATCAGTAGTAGTAGCAGTAATCGGTGGATAGTTTTCCAATAGAAAATGTTGATTAGCAGAATTAGATAAGGAAGGAGATGTAGGATTATTTGATAAATGCGCAGGAGCATTTCCAGAATCACTGCCTACTTCAACATATTCACCACCATCACCAACGTCATCATCGTTACTATCATCATGATTCTCATCATCGTCAGTGCTCATTTCCAGTTTACTTTCATTGTCAGTCATTTTTATATTTTCAACTTCATTGTCATCATCTTTTCTTAGTGCATAGTTCTGACCATTCGTAGTGATATTATCATCATTATTATTACTATCAGTCAATTGAGATTGTTCACTGAAAGCGATCATAGATTTAGCTACCATATAAGAATCGATTTTATCATGGTGGAAACCATTTTTTAAATAATTTTTTGAAAAATCATTATCTCCATTACTTGCAGTTCGATAGTGACCTGGTCGACATAAAGTTTTAAATTGAGTTTCTCCCTAAAATTATAATAAATATTACTCATAAAAATTAGTAGTAAAGCAATTAGTACAAGAGAATTTGTAGAGACTACAGAATTCTCAAAGTTCAAATGAAAAACTCATCATAGTTAGACCATCAATAAAAACGTGGAAGCACCAGACGGTCATTTTGTCCTAGCATGGGACTTCTCAATAATGCATCACTAGTGAGCACTGCCAGATGCGAGACAGTTATTCACCGCAGACAATGGATGAAAGTTGTGCAATATCGTAGATTGATTGGAGTTAGACACTAACACTGTTGGGTTCCAGCCGGGTAGTCTAAAGATCAGGCATTCGCGTGTGAGGTCGTGAATGTACACTGCTAAGTCCCACATTGGGACAAAACGACCGTTCATTGCATACACGTTTTTGATAGTGGTCTAGCTAAGATCAGTTCATGACTTAAACTATCAAAATAACTAATAGTCAATTATTTAATGTTAAAAAGCGGACAACAACACACTGTTCACTGAAAGTGAACCGTTTAACTTCATTTCATTCAAAAAGCACTTTCATGGAGGTATTCACATATAACACAGTTATGATTAACAGAGTAAAACAGATGCATTTGAATAACCCTACTGGTTTCCCAACTAATACGTTATTCACCCTAATTGTTGATCACTGAATAGTGATCACAAATAAAAAGCATTTTTCACAATCTAAACATTCCTTATAGTGATGCATTTCATTATATTGATCGACATGGAGTAGAATTAGACTAGATAAAATGATCCGAAATATCAGTGATTAAACGAAAATTTGAATAAGCTATTAATTTCAATTGAATAGCTATGTAATTAACGAACAGATGTGTGCCTAACTATAGAGCTTAGTGACGATTGCTAAAGGCTAATTGGGTTTTGATAGTTAAATAAATCAAAAACTGATTACCGCATACAGTTACATCACTATGATTGCAACTAAATTAGTTCTCCATGGCTATGCAGAAAAATTCTTTCAAATTTAATCGACAGTTAATACGTATTTTTCCAGCTCTAACCAATATATTCTTCGCCTAGGCTCATTTGGTAATTATTAGTACTATTTTAGATAAATAGCATAATATGAGAAACTAAAAAACGATATTAAAATTAAAGTCTTATATAAGTTAGTATTTAGTCGACGATAATTAACAAAATAACTTTTTTATGCTAGGTTTCAAATACTCTGTACTTCACTAAAATTACAAACCTAACAAACCTAGATAACGATTGAAAATGTGGAAGCATTGGACGGCCGTCTCGTCCTAGTATAAGACTCCTGAGTAGTGCGCATCCACTATCTCTCATGAGGGGATCAAACTCAGAACCTTCGATCCTGTGCTCGTACGTTTAATATCTAGACCACTGAGTCAGGATTCTGTACTTAATTCAGATGAGTCATGATAGATAGCCAAAACAGATTTGGACAGTCAGATCGGTATCTTAAAAATTAACTCATTTTCATAATTTAAAAACAAATGAAAGATAAAATCAAAAATATTGCGGTAGACTAATCAACGCTCGGTTGAGCGAAATCGTCAATGATTTTAATGAGAATTAGTAACTTCTGAAATACAGATAACTTTCTAGGATATATGTAGTCATATCATACGTAAATACTGACTTCGATGGTAAGACAAGGTATAGAACGGACAGGACTGAAGGTTCTCTACAACACAACAGACCAGCTGGCCTTAGGTTACTCTTTAAATTAAAATGATAGATTGATTAATATCAATTTCAGATGACATAGTCTTCAAAAATAATATTTATTGTTAAAGATATTACATGTGTGAACGCGTATATTCTTTCGTTTTATATACACAACAAAGAAAAAACACAGATAATCGATCGTTTTTATGTGATCAAAAGTTATAAACACTAAATAATGAAGATAGAAATGTGAAAATCCATGGAAGATGAAATAACAATGTATATTTGATTATCAAGGAACGTATGTGCTTATGTATTTTAATCGTACAAGTGAATGCTTATATTACTGATCATAGATGTGAATAGTTAGGTGGAATGTAAATATATCCAAATCAACAAACAAACACAGGCGAAATTTATGGACGTGGACGCGTGTGTGTGTATGGGTGGGGACGTTGAATATTTAGGTAGACAAAATAACATCGAATCTCGCGCGAGCGGGTTCGTGGATGCGCACTGCTGAGGAGTCCCATAATAGGACGAAACGGCCGTCCAGTGTTTCCAGGTTTTCCATGGTGGTCTAGCTTCAATTGACTCATGCTTTAAAACTATGAAAAATACTAAATCTCCACAAAACCCCCTCTGATAATTAATATAATCATATGCTCACCAGTGACTTCGAGAAGTATAACTAGGAGCTCTAGTGAGAAGCAGTGACCAGTGGAGTTCAAAACCACGTCTGTTGTGAGATAGGAACTCACTGAAGACAATTGGTGAATGGTTGCTCAACTTCGTGGATCAGTTGAAGTTAGACATTAACACCGTTGGATGCCAGCTCAGTGGTCTATCGGTTAAGGGCTTCGGCTCGTAACTGGTAGGTCCTGGGTTCGAATCTCGCGCGAGCGGGTTCGTGGATGCGCACTGCTGAGGAGTCCCATAATAGGACGAAACGGCCGTCCAGTGTTTCCAGGTTTTCCATGGTGGTCTAGCTTCAATTGACTCATGCTTTAAAACTATGAAAAATAACATCCATTCATGAGGATACTTCGTGTTAATGAAATGGAAAATGGTTAAAAATGACGAGAACAATAATAAATATAAATGAGAACATTCTGCTGGATAGAACATACATTTCAGAAAACAAAGTATGAACCAAGCGACAAAACAGATAGCTTATGAATGTGATTAAGATGAGTACTAACGTGAAAATTCAGGGGAAAAGCTATGAAATCACAAAGAGAAAAGTAAACAAATATGATAACAATTGAATAGAAAAATAACTATTTTTTCCAGATGGAATTTCATTGCTTTTATACAACTTAGAGAACATTATCACCATGAATTGACTTTAATTATAAAACCATTAACAGTCATGGAGCATTGAACAAATGTGCACTTAAAACCTAATGAACAAGACTGAACACAGAAACTTCAGGCATTTAAGTGAAAATGATAAAATCCAACCATTAATATGGGGATTCGAATTGAGATAAAATACGTGTCCAATCAGTCCCTAGCTTTCAGATAATGTCAGTTTGTAATGAAAATAGCTTCATAAAATTACTATTCATCATATCAGTTACATGGCTTAAGCTTATAAAACAAGCTATCATGAAAATTCACATGTTTTAAAATGTTACAGAGATAAAAGCATCATATTAAAAAGAGTGAAATCACTGACGGGAAGAACATAAATAAAGAAAATCAAATGTGAAACATGAGACTTTCGTTTCTACTATTCATGTAGATATATAAATAAATGTCAGCTGCCAGGAGGTCCGCACAAACGTTTGGACTACCACTTTTGTAAATGTCCATTCATCGCCAAAATTAGTTTCCTGTTTTAGATCTGTTTCAATCGATGAACTAAAATTATCGACTGTGTGTACATACGCAGCTTCATAAAATGCACCTATATCGACATTCTTTTCTAATGAAGAATTCGAGACGTACTACCCCAGTACTCTATAGATTTTCCTACTCCTCTGTTTTCGCAGAGACCAGAGGCGATTACCATAGGACTTTTACATCAAATATATTCGTGATGAGAAATATCATAAGAACAAGAACGACCGTAAACAATTATGGATGCATTTTAGTGGTAGCTAATCACTGACTAAAAATTTATCGTTAAGGCGATCACAGAATTAGTAGACTTTTGCTAATAATGTTAGGATATTACTAGAAATGGCAACCATGATTGGTATTTCCTAATTCAGTTTACCTCATACCTTTCGCCGTTTACCGATTGACTGTTACTACTTTTAGTTCGCTGATTTTTTGTGTTTGAAGGCTGTGCTTCTGTTACTATGGTTAATAAGCGGCATTATTTCAACTTTTTTTTGTTTGAACTTCAAGGTCTTTTCCACATTTCGTCTTTCTGTTCTAGCGGCTAATTTTTGAAGTGTTGTATGCCAGCTGCTGTTATCAATTCCGCAATAGAACCGTTTACAATAAGATACATCATTCGTTCTTGAATTTATAAGAAGTGTAGGCCAACTGGAAATCCCAACAATAATCGTTTTATCAAGATATAACATTTATACATATTTCTTGATTATTCACAAATTAAACGCTCATTAGATGATAATCTTGAAGAGATTCCACATATTTTGTTCTGAGGATTCTTTACTTTAACTAAACATATGGTGTTTCATAAACTGAGTATTATTATTATTATATCGGTGAAAGTATAATATACTGACGATCTTGGGCGACACGTCAGCCAATCAGTAAATGCGGCATAGTCACGAAACAATTGACAATAAAAACTGATAAAATAACAGTGGAATAGTAGCTTTTTATCTGAATATTTGAATTTTACATGCTCAATTATTCTTTGTAGTAAAGAAAAAGGTTAGCTTTACATATTAGGAGTCAGGTAGTATTCTGAGTTCTCACTAAATGACATGGGTTATAATGTAAAAAAGTTGGGGTTAGGTGTTAGGAGTAGGATTAAAGTTTTGACTTGAGTTTACAAATTACGGTTGGCATTTTCAACACGAACCGACATCAGTTATAATGCAACGACTTGCCACCCTTCTGTTTACAAACTTAGAAAACATAGGGTTAAGATTTAGAGGAAGTGTTAACAAGGGAGCATGTTATATAGATTTATTAAACACTCTTGACTACGCATTGAGTCATATTCAGCACTTTACCAACGATTTACCTTAGGAGCATGTATGTTTTGACATGTAGGCATCACCTTAAATTCTAATTTCGGTTGCGCATTAGATATTTTTATTGGTCCCGAGCATTTTAGGGATCAATTATTGTCAGTTTTCATTCAGTTACTATTAACATACAAGTTATCCATCATTCCACTTTAGATTTCGC